CCTGAGTGGGTTGGGAGGTCGAAACTTGATTTTTCTGATGGTTTGGGAAAGGTACTAACTATTTAAACCCCTAAACCTGTTCCAAATACCCCGGAACATAAATCCCCTACAGGGGTAAAGATTTTCGATCTTGATTTTACCTGGATTTCAGCTATTTTGGGATGGGCGTGGCCCCTGGGAGTGGCCTGAGTGGGTTGGGAGGTCAAAACTTGATTTTTCTGATGGTTTGGGACAGGTACTAACTATTTAAACCCCTAAACCTGTTCCAGATACCCCGAAACATAAATCCCCTACAGGGGTAAAGATTTTCGATCTTGATTTTACCTGGATTTCAGCTATTTTGGGATGGGCGTTGCCCCTGGGAGTGGCCTGAGTGGGTTGGGAGGTCAAAACTTGATTTTTCTGATGGTTTAGGACAGGTACTAACTATTTAAACCCCTAAACCTGTTCCAAATACCCCGGAACATAAATCCCCTACAGGGGTAAAGATTTTCGATCTTGATTTTACCTGGATTTCAGCTATTTTGGGATGGGCGTGGCCCCTGGGAGTGGCCTGAGTGGGTTGGGAGGTCAAAACTTGATTTTTCTGATGGTTTGGGACAGGTACTAACTATTTAAACCCCTAAACCTGTTCCAAATACCCCGGAACATAAATCCCCTACAGGGGTAAAGATTTTCGATCTTGATTTTACCTGGATTTCAGCTATTTTGGGATGGGCGTGGCCCCTGGGAGTGGCCTGAATGGGTTGGGAGGTCAAAACTTGATTTTTCTGATGGTTTGGGACAGGTACTAACTATTTAAACCCCTAAACCTGTTCCAGATACCCCGAAACATAAATCCCCTACAGGGGTAAAGATTTTCGATCTTGATTTTACCTGGATTTCAGCTATTTTGGGATGGGCGTTGCCCCTGGGAGTGGCCTGAGTGGGTTGGGAGGTCAAAACTTGATTTTTCTGATGGTTTAGGACAGATACTAACTATTTAAACCCCTAAACCTGTTCCAAATACCCCGGAACATAAATCCCCTACAGGGGTAAAGATTTTCGATCTTGATTTTACCTGGATTTCAGCTATTTTGGGATGGGCGTGGCCCCTGGGAGTGGCCTGAGTGGGTTGGGAGGTCAAAACTTGATTTTTCTGATGGTTTGGGACAGGTACTAACTATTTAAACCCCTAAACCTGTTCCAAATACCCCGGAACATAAATCCCCTACAGGGGTAAAGATTTTCGATCTTGATTTTACCTGGATTTCAGCTATTTTGGGATGGGCGTGGCCCCTGGGAGTGGCCTGAGTGGGTTGGGAGGTCAAAACTTAATTTTTCTGATGGTTTGGGACAGGTACTAACTATTTAAACCCCTAAACCTGCTCCAAATACCCCGGAACATAAATCCCCTACAGGGGTAAAGATTTTCGATCTTGATTTTACCTGGATTTCAGCTATTTTGGGATGGGCGTGGCCCCTGGGAGTGGCCTGAGTGGGTTGGGAGGTCAAAACTTGATTTTTCTGATGGTTTGGGACAGGTACTAACTATTTAAACCCCTAAACCTGTTCCAAATACCCCGGAACTCCGGAACATAAATCCCCTACAGGGGTAAAGATTTTCGATCTTGATTTTACCTGGATTTCAGCTATTTTGGGATGGGCGTGGCCCCTGGGAGTGGCCTGAGTGGGTTGGGAGGTCAAAACTTGATTTTTCTGATGGTTTGGGACAGGTACTAACTATTTAAACCCCTAAACCTGTTCCAAATACCCCGGAACATAAATCCCCTACAGGGGTAAAGATTTTCGATCTTGATTTTACCTGGATTTCAGCTATTTTGGGATGGGCGTGGCCCCTGGGAGTGGCCTGAGTGGGTTGGGAGGTCAAAACTTAATTTTTCTGATGGTTTGGGACAGGTACTAACTATTTAAACCCCTAAACCTGCTCCAAATACCCCGGAACATAAATCCCCTACAGGGGTAAAGATTTTCGATCTTGATTTTACCTGGATTTCAGCTATTTTGGGATGGGCGTGGCCCCTGGGAGTGGCCTGAGTGGGTTGGGAGGTCAAAACTTGATTTTTCTGATGGTTTGGGACAGGTACTAACTATTTAAACCCCTAAACCTGTTCCAAATACCCCGGAACATAAATCCCCTACAGGGGTAAAGATTTTCGATCTTGATTTTACCTGGATTTCAGCTATTTTGGGATGGGCGTGGCCCCTGGGAGTGGCCTGAGTGGGTTGGGAGGTCAAAACTTGATTTTTCTGATGGTTTGGGACAGGTACTAACTATTTAAACCCCTAAACCTGTTCCAAATACCCCGGAACATAAATCCCCTACAGGGGTAAAGATTTTCGATCTTGATTTTACCTGGATTTCAGCTATTTTGGGATGGGCGTGGCCCCTGGGAGTGGCCTGAGTGGGTTGGGAGGTCAAAACTTGATTTTTCTGATGGTTTGGGACAGGTACTAACTATTTAAACCCCTAAACCTGTTCCAGATACCCCGAAACATAAATCCCCTACAGGGGTAAAGATTTTCGATCTTGATTTTACCTGGATTTCAGCTATTTTGGGATGGGCGTTGCCCCTGGGAGTGGCCTGAGTGGGTTGGGAGGTCAAAACTTGATTTTTCTGATGGTTTAGGACAGATACTAACTATTTAAACCCCTAAACCTGCTCCAAATACCCCGGAACATAAATCCCCTACAGGGGTAAAGATTTTCGATCTTGATTTTACCTGGATTTCAGCTATTTTGGGATGGGCGTGGCCCCTGGGAGTGGCCTGAGTGGGTTGGGAGGTCAAAACTTGATTTTTCTGATGGTTTGGGACAGGTACTAACTATTTAAACCCCTAAACCTGTTCCAAATACCCCGGAACTCCGGAACATAAATCCCCTACAGGGGTAAAGATTTTCGATCTTGATTTTACCTGGATTTCAGCTATTTTGGGATGGGCGTGGCCCCTGGGAGTGGCCTGAGTGGGTTGGGAGGTCAAAACTTGATTTTTCTGATGGTTTGGGACAGGTACTAACTATTTAAACCCCTAAACCTGTTCCAAATACCCCGGAACATAAATCCCCTACAGGGGTAAAGATTTTCGATCTTGATTTTACCTGGATTTCAGCTATTTTGGGATGGGCGTGGCCCCTGGGAGTGGCCTGAGTGGGTTGGGAGGTCAAAACTTAATTTTTCTGATGGTTTGGGACAGGTACTAACTATTTAAACCCCTAAACCTGCTCCAAATACCCCGGAACATAAATCCCCTACAGGGGTAAAGATTTTCGATCTTGATTTTACCTGGATTTCAGCTATTTTGGGATGGGCGTGGCCCCTGGGAGTGGCCTGAGTGGGTTGGGAGGTCAAAACTTGATTTTTCTGATGGTTTGGGACAGGTACTAACTATTTAAACCCCTAAACCTGTTCCAAATACCCCGGAACATAAATCCCCTACAGGGGTAAAGATTTTCGATCTTGATTTTACCTGGATTTCAGCTATTTTGGGATGGGCGTGGCCCCTGGGAGTGGCCTGAGTGGGTTGGGAGGTCAAAACTTGATTTTTCTGATGGTTTGGGACAGGTACTAACTATTTAAACCCCTAAACCTGTTCCAAATACCCCGGAACATAAATCCCCTACAGGGGTAAAGATTTTCGATCTTGATTTTACCTGGATTTCAGCTATTTTGGGATGGGCGTGGCCCCTGGGAGTGGCCTGAGTGGGTTGGGAGGTCAAAACTTAATTTTTCTGATGGTTTGGGACAGGTACTAACTATTTAAACCCCTAAACCTGCTCCAAATACCCCGGAACATAAATCCCCTACAGGGGTAAAGATTTTCGATCTTGATTTTACCTGGATTTCAGCTATTTTGGGATGGGCGTGGCCCCTGGGAGTGGCCTGAGTGGGTTGGGAGGTCAAAACTTGATTTTTCTGATGGTTTGGGACAGGTACTAACTATTTAAACCCCTAAACCTGTTCCAAATACCCCGGAACATAAATCCCCTACAGGGGTAAAGATTTTCGATCTTGATTTTACCTGGATTTCAGCTATTTTGGGATGGGCGTGGCCCCTGGGAGTGGCCTGAGTGGGTTGGGAGGTCAAAACTTGATTTTTCTGATGGTTTGGGACAGGTACTAACTATTTAAACCCCTAAACCTGTTCCAAATACCCCGGAACATAAATCCCCTACAGGGGTAAAGATTTTCGATCTTGATTTTACCTGGATTTCAGCTATTTTGGGATGGGCGTGGCCCCTGGGAGTGGCCTGAGTGGGTTGGGAGGTCAAAACTTAATTTTTCTGATGGTTTGGGACAGGTACTAACTATTTAAACCCCTAAACCTGCTCCAAATACCCCGGAACATAAATCCCCTACAGGGGTAAAGATTTTCGATCTTGATTTTACCTGGATTTCAGCTATTTTGGGATGGGCGTGGCCCCTGGGAGTGGCCTGAGTGGGTTGGGAGGTCAAAACTTGATTTTTCTGATGGTTTGGGACAGGTACTAACTATTTAAACCCCTAAACCTGTTCCAAATACCCCGGAACATAAATCCCCTACAGGGGTAAAGATTTTCGATCTTGATTTTACCTGGATTTCAGCTATTTTGGGATGGGCGTGGCCCCTGGGAGTGGCCTGAGTGGGTTGGGAGGTCAAAACTTGATTTTTCTGATGGTTTGGGACAGGTACTAACTATTTAAACCCCTAAACCTGTTCCAAATACCCCGGAACATAAATCCCCTACAAGCGTCAAATCCCATACAAATCCCCTACAAAAATCAAGGAAACGTGCTCTCTATGACATTCATCCAGGGGGTGTTTTCTTGGTTTATTGTGGCACTGCCCCGTCTTGAAATTTGCATATCATTTAAAACTAACACGCAGCATGATCAGTCTAAACTCTTACTTTATATAGATTCTAGCGCATTGCAGATATTTAGGTCTTTTCAACATTTTATAATTGTAATATGTAACAGCAATAAATTAAGCTTTAATAACAGCACTTTTAAGATCCTTACCTCAAAGCACTCCTCAACAATTGCAGTTCCGTTAACAGTGAGATCAGTTAGTTCTATTTGATAATACCACTCCTTAACCAGATCTGTGTACTGGTAACTTTCATCTGCTGTAGCATTTAATTCCTGAAATTATTTGTATTTGTATCATATATTGCATGAATTAAACGAAATCAAAGATATATCTGCATGCAACAGATGTTGGGAAAATCTGTTTCAAGGGTACAGTTTACCACATTAAGGTATTTTTATGAATCATTTTTGTCTGTAAGATCCTGTTTTATAATAATAATAATGTATCAGATGCTATCTTAGAGTAGGTGTTCTCCTGCACATTTTCAGTATCGATATGGTGAAAATACTTAGCAAGCTGCAATCTGCAATCTGAGGGTCATCGCAGCCTTTACAGTAGACTATAAGGTCATCATTTTCCTATATTTAATGCTACAGAACCTATATTTAATGCTACAGAACGATAGTTTTAAACTGTTTTCACAACTACAATACATACAAAAATGTATGGAGGATGTACCTAGTATGTACCTAGTATGTACCTATAGTATGTACCTAGTATGTACCTATAGTATGTACCTAGTATGTACCTTACCATTCTGACCTATGGAAGTGAGATGTGGGGCACGACTCAAGTGCAGACAAGAAGATTGGAGTCTTTCCATCAGTGCTGCTTACGCGGAATCCTGGGGGTGGGGTGGTTCCATCGAGTAAGAAATGAAGATGTTTTAAGAAGGGCTTCAATAACTGCTCTTACTGACATAATAGCAACAAAACGGCTACGTTGGTTTGGACATGTCAGTAGAATGCCTGAAGATCGGTTACCTAACTATCTACTTGAATGGAAACCCAAGCATGGGAAACGATCAAGAGGCAGGCCTAGGAAGAGCTTAAATGATGTATTTATTGAAGATGCTGAGCAGAGATTGGATCGTAATGGACTCACGATTGATTGTATGAGAAGATTGGCTGCAGATCGAAAAGGATGGAGAAATATTACCCGCCGAAGTTGTATAATACAAAGTAATGACGCAGATGACGCAGACTAATCCTTTTGGATGGAGATCTCGCCATGTAACATGTAATGTAGTATGTACCTATAGTATGTACCTATAGTACTTACCTTTAAAGGATATATGATCAGTTATGTTTTATAATTCTCATGGTTCATTATCATATTATAATCATTCTCATTGCATTATTTATGTCATCACTTCAAGAACAGGATAAAACTAAGGAATCAATTTTCCCTTTTAGAGTAGATATTCGTTGGATGTCTCTCGCCACATCTTAAAATAATTAGGAAATTTTGCCAGAAACAGCCCTGGAAAAATAACTGCTAATACGTGATGATTTTTGATAAAGATTTGATTTGAAACTTTTATGTAAATAGTACATTTACAATACAACAATGGAATAAAAGAAAGAAACAACATCATGAAGCATGACGTACTAAGGTAAAAAGTTTAACAGTAAGAAAAGTACAACAATTACTAACGAGTAACCCGTCAAGTTTTGTAGTATTCTGGTCTCTTCGTCCACATAGCTCAATACTGAACACTTGGCTCACTGCACCTTTTGCAGACAGACTGTCTAGTACGGTATCAGCTGTACTCGGATCAGGCTGAAATATAGTCACGTGATATTATAGGGAGCAGGTTGAAATATAGTCACGTGATTTTATAGGGAGCAGGTTGAAATGGTCACGTGATATTAAAGGGAGCAGGTTGAAATATAGTCACGTGATATTATAGGAGCAGGTTGAAATGGTCACGTGATATTATAGGGAGCAGGTTGAAATGGTCACGTGATATTATGGGGAGCAGGTTGAAATGGTCACATGATATTATAGGAGCAGGTTGAAATGGTCACGTGATATTATAGGGAGCAGGCTGAAATATAGTCACGTGATATTATAGGAGCAGGTTGAAATGGTCACGTGATATTATAGGGAGCAGGTTGAAATGGTCACGTGATTTTATGGGGAGCAGGTTGAAATGGTCACGTGATATTATGGGGAGTAGGTTGAAATAGTCACGTGATATTATGGGGAGTAGGTTGAAATGGTCACGTGATATTATAGGGAGCAGGTTGAAATGGTCACGTGATATTATGGGGAGCAGGTTGAAATGGTCACATGATATTATAGGAGCAGGTTGAAATGGTCACGTGATATTATAAGGAGCAGGTTGAAATGGTCACGTGATATTATGGGGAGTAGGTTGAAATGGTCACATGATATTATAGGGAGCAGGTTGAAATGGTCACGTGATATTATAGGGAGCAGGTTGAAATGGTCACGTGATATTAAAGGGAGCAGGTTGAAATGGTCACATGATATTATAGGGAGCAGGTTGAAATGGTCACGTGATATTAAAGGGAGCAGGTTGAAATGGTCACGTGATATTAAAGGGAGCAGGTTGAAATGTCAAATGATATTATAGGGAGCAGGTTGAAATGGTCACGTGATATTAAAGGGAGCAGGTTGAAATGGTCACGTGATATTATAGGGAGCAGGTTGAAATATAGTCACGTGATATTAAAGGGGAGCAGGTTGAAATGGTCACGTGTTTTTAAAGGGAGCAGGTTGAAATGGTCACGTGATATTATAGGGAGCAGGTTGAAATGGTCACGTGATATTATAGGGAGCAGGTTGAAATGGTCACATGATTTTATAGGGAGCAGGCTGAAATATAGTCACGTGATTTTATAAGGAGCAGGTTGAAATGGTCACGTGATATTATAGGGAGCAGGCTGAAATATAGTCACGTGATATTATAGGGAGCAGGCTGAAATGGTCACGTGATTTTAAAGGGAGCAGGTTGAATGATGAAGGTAGTCGTGTTGGTCGCCATTACTTACTAGCAACATAATTTCCAATATGTGAGTTCTGGACAGTGCGGACAGTTGAACGAATGATTCACAGAAACACAGCAGAACAAAGTAATGACATGTTATTCGTTGTTAGAGGTAAATTAGGTGTTAACCAGCCTAGCCTATGATGTGTCCGTGAAATAGGTTTATACTGCAACTGTATAGGTTACTGTGAACGAGCACAGTAACCATGTACTAACAAGGTCCCCATACGTCCGCATGTAACGTGTGTTTGAATTATTCAAATACCCTGAGTGTCGAACAATACTGTCAACCCCTCGTTACCACATTTGGCTGGATAACAAGTATGCCGTGGCCTGGTAACTGGGCCTGTTTAAGTGGTTTACGGTGTAATTTAGGGGTAACAGTAATGTGTAATTTAGGGGTAACACTTAACAGGGTCGGGACACACAGTGTGTTCTTCAGTGAAGCAATGGGAAAATGGCTAAAAGGTATTGTGTAGATTGCGGGAAGTGGCCGGTGGTGGTATAAGATGTAGGAGTTATAAGGTATAAGTTACCTATAAGGTACCACCTATAAGGTACCACCTATAAGGTACCACCTATAAGGTACCACCTATAAGGTACTTATAAGGTATTTATACCTAGTAAACGGTACCTGCATGAGTCTTTTGTAGCCGAGACCCAGAATTCCCTGCCATAATGTAGGCGAAACAAAGAAGTTTGAGGAAGATGTTATCAGAGCGACATCGACAATGCCACTACCACCTGAGATAATGGGAGGTTAGTTAGAGGTAATTTAGAGGTGAGTTAGAGGTTAATTTTAGGTCCAAAGTTAGAGGTAAGTTAGAGGTAAGTTAGAGGTAAGTTAGAGGTAAGTTAGAGATAAGTTAGAGGTAAGTTAGAGGTAAGTTAGAAGTTAGTTAGAGGTAAGTTAGAGGTTAGTTAGAGGTAAGTTAGAGGTAAGTTAGAGGTAAGTTAGAGGTTAGTTAGAGGTAAGTTAGAGGTTAGTTAGAGGTAAGTTAGAGGTAAGTTAGAGGTAAGTTAGAGGTTAGTTAGAGGTAATTTAGAGATAAGTTAGAGGTAATTTAGAGGTAAGTTATAGGTTAATTTTAGGTCCAAAGTTAGAGGTAAGTTAGAGGTAATTTAGAGATAAGTTAGAGGTAAGTTAGAGGTGAGTTAGAGGTTAGTTAGAGGTTAAAAGTAAGAGGTAAGTTAGAGGTAAGTTAGAGGTAAGTTAGAGGTAAGTTAGAGATAAGTTAGAGGTAAGTTAGAGATAAGTTAGAGGTAAGTTAGAGGTTAGTTAGAGGTAAGTTAGAGGTAAGTTAGAGGTTAGTTAGAGGTAAGTAAGAGGTAAGTTAGAGATAAGTTAGAGGTTAGTTAGAGGTAAGTTAGAGGTTAGTTAGAGGTAAGTAAGAGGTAAGTTAGAGGTAAGTTAGAGGTTAGTTAGAGGCAATTTAGAGATAAGTTAGAGGTAAGTTAGAGGTAAGTTAGAGGTGAGTTAGAGGTTAGTTAGAGGTTAAAAGTAAGATGTAAGTTAGAGGTAAGTTAGAGGTAAGTTAGAGGTAAGTTAGAGATAAGTTAGAGGTAAGTTAGAGGTTAGTTAGAGGTAAGTTAGAGGTTAGTTAGAGGTAAGTTAGAGGTAAGTTAGAGGTAAGTTAGAGTTTAGTTAGAGGTAATTTAGAGATAAGTTAGAGGTAATTTAGAGGTAAGTTATAGGTTAATTTTAGGTAAGTTAGAGGTAAGTTAGAGGTAAGTTAGAGGTAAGTTAGAGGTAAGTTAGAGGTAAGTTAGAGGTAAGTTAGAGGTAAGTTAGAGGTAAGTTAGAGGTAAGTTAGAGGTAAGTTAGAGGTTAGTTAGAGGTAATTTAGAGATAAGTTAGAGGTAATTTAGAGGTAATTTAGGGATAAGTTAGAGGTAAGTTAGAGGTAAGTTAGAGGTAAGTTAGAGATAAGTTAGAGGTAAGCTAGAGATAAGTTAGAGGTAAGTTAGAGGTAATTTAGAGGTAAGTTAGAGGTAATTTAGAGGTTTAAAGTTAGAGATAAGTTAGAGGTTAAGTTAGAGGTAATTTAGAGGTAAGTTAGAGATAAGTTAGAGGTGAGTTAGAGGTAAGTTAGAGGTAAGTTAGAGATAAGTTAGAGTTATTAATTGGGATATAGTAAAGTTAATCGGACTAATCAGAAGAATATAAGAATATATCGTTTTTAAGATAATGAATACTGCAAGTCGTAAACAGTACAATGTATTGCATATTGCATATTATATATATACCGCGATGAAGCTAAATTAGTTTAACGCTTATATACATGTATAAAAGCTGAAAGTAATAGTAATCGTTAGTTGATATCTAGATCCTTTCTAATTTGCTGTCACAATGTAACGTTGTGTCACAACACATACATTTATATTATGATGAATCATCAAATCGGGGTTTGCAGTAAATCGAGGTTTTTTGTTTACATTGCATTGTGTATGTTAAGCCCTATTTGGGGGAAGGAGATGGCTGCGGTAAATCGGGGTTTGCGGTAAATCGGGGTTTTACTATACAAATTGAAATACTCACAGGTTTCACAGAACATAAAGATATCACTAGCGAAGTATCCCTGCCAAGTGCCATTAAAGTACTGAACTTTTATACTTTTATCAGGACTTCCTTTGAATGAAGTAGATCTGAAATATTGGAAAATAAGCTATTAAAATTATGAGAGCTGTCATGTGAATAATTTCAGTTTCAAGAGCCACCCATAAAACAATTGGAGATGATGCAGATGGGCGATGTTTTACTGTATTTAGAAACTCGATATGTAAGCATCCATCTCGATAAGTAAATATTAATCGGCGCGGCGTCGTTGTGTACCCCTGAAACCTCCCACTTCCTCCTTAATTTCACCTACAACTGGTTACTGGCGCCACTGGTTACTGGCGCCACTGTCAGCGCTATTAACATCATGATTATACATTGCATCTTAGTGTGGCAATAAATGCAATCATTACAATAATCAGACGGCTGTACTTATTCATGGTTAAACTCATGCGATAAGAATTTCATTTGTCATGTTAGATCATTGATTTTCCGATTATCATGGGATTCAAATTAGCACCACTTGTTAAATTTAGAGTTCTGTGTTACACATTTGCATTACCAGTATAATTAATATCAAAGTAAGATAATTATATCAGAATAATTTACGGGTTATCTACGCATGTAGCTCCAAATCATTACGGAATAAGAATGGAATTAGGGAGGTCTGATTTAAGACACTCATTATTTATTCATTATTCATTATTCATTATACCTGTTCATTATTCATTAATACCACACTGCGAATAATAGAATTTCAATAATGTTAAACGGCTATAATGGCAGACGCATATATACAGATCTTTGATATTGATCTTTAAATTTCACTAGCAGCATGGATATCAAGGATAATATATAAACCTTATTCAGATCTGACATTTAGGAATCATGATAATTTAAAAAGAACCTGCCTGTTAAAGTAATAAGTCGCCTCTATTTAATTTGTTAGCTAAATTTTCACTCGCAGGTCATCTGTTCTCACAAAATCAAGCTAGGGGACGTCGAAAATTGTATCAAATATCTTTATAAAGGAGCAAGGTAGGAAAACGTTCCGTATCTTGCAGCCATATTATTATATAATATATTCTATTCGAAACCAAAACTCATATTCGAAACTAATACATATGTAGTCAAAAAACGAACTTTTTCTATTTTCTATTAATCTGAGTCTACATGAGTTACTTGTTCACATTGGAGTTAAGTTTTACTTTAGTTTTAAACATTCATAATATTCTACCTGTACTTACCATAAGTAACAGGTAATTAATACTACATATATATATGTAAAAAAGAATACCTATATTACTTACTTTATGTTACTGTATGTCACTGTATTACTTACACACCTCATCTAGTGGTACTCACAAAAGAAACAGATGTAAGCTGTACAGCTGTTAACCTGTTAACCTCACATACACTGATATACAAATTAGTACGGTATATATTACATATATTATATTACTATATTATATAGTATTGTAGTATAGTATTTATTATGGTACTGTATATATTAGCGACAAGAGAAACGCCAATGTCGCGTCGGACGTGAGGACTCCTCAAACTACATTAAATATATTCCTTAGCTGGAACGTCCTCAATAAATGTACTTAATAGTAGTTGTGAAAATAGTTTAATGGTATTGAATGTTGAATATACATCATACATGTTGGGGACTATTACACGTTATTTCGAGGTAACATGCAGTAACGCGATAACTTCTCTCTGTTTCTCTCCTTGTTACCATAACAACACGAGATGTTGGACACTTAGAACAGCTGCTGACTGATTGTACCACGTGATTGTACCATTATGCCTGATTGTTAAATTTAAGGCGCCCAAAACGGAGAATATATCGTTATATCGGTCGGATTTTAAAAAGACATCTCATGTGTCTTTTAAGTTGAATAACTGAATTAGTCCCAACCCTATGGACAATTTTTCTTTTATGAAGTTTCTATTTTATAATGGTCCTTTCCTTACAATAACCACTGCACGGTACGTATAATTACTCTCACATCGCCACCTTCATCTAACAAGAGTTCACTTGACGTACGCTCTTTTTAAGCTGGGAAGATCCTATGCTTCATTTACACAGGAATATCTAGGGACTACGGGTGGAAGATGAATAATTGATATTCCAACAGCATCTTGTTCCCTGCATTGTGCTGATTCCGGGAAGCATTTTGTTTACGCTCTCATCATTCTGTAGGATGAGATATCGTTCATTTAAAATTGGGTAATTATAGGCCTGTCAAGGATTTCAGCCTAATTAAGAGCTGATCAATTGCAGCTAGTTGTGCCATATAAGGGATAACTGAGGTCACGTGACATTCAGTCCTATCACGTGACCGCTAATCCTATCACGTGACCTTGATTCGTAAAGCCTCGGGCACGTGATCACATTCGTAACGTGTCGTATGCCGACTAGGAGATTTTGTGACGTCACCAGAGCTGAAGCTACTTGATCAGACCTTATATGGAATAATATCGTGTATCGGGTGTAATTGGACCCAATTAGAGCAGCTGAGCGCTCAATTATAGCAGCATCTGGTACCACCTTCTGAAACCCAGCAGACAGCTGGCCCAGAGAATCGAAATTAGAAGGATTTTTTATTGATGGAAATCGAAGCGGAAACCTTGTAACCCTATGTTTTCGATGACGCCGAACAAGATTAAACAGGTTATAATTGTCCTACTCTCGTGTAAATTGCTCTAAAACGTGATTGAAATTGTAATGATGCTATCAATTGTAATACAGTTTTTACATTAAGCTGAGCGGCGTAACGGCTGGCATTCCTGGGCCGCACTCATCCCAGATTGTCATTCCGCCGCAGCTTCAATTTATCTGGATATTACAGCCTGGGGTCCCCAGGTAACGACTGGAACCACTATATCTGCCTAATCTCAGTTATTGTCAATAACGAAGCCTGTGATCCGCACATCAGTCATTGAATGGGCTTGAATTGAACGTCGTGTTATTACTATAAAAAATATCATAGTATCGGGTAAATTTTTTCAAAATGCACTTGAATGTCATCAATTTGATTAAGTTATCATAAGTTGAATAGCTGGTGCATTTACAGTGCTACGTTTTCAATTATTCTACGAACACTTGGAATTAAAATCTATTTATATATATATTGCATTGTTTAATACTTATAATCAAGATTGCTAAGTTCAGTGTGTGGACGAAGTATAGCGATGGAATCACTAACATATTTATGACTGTTTGATATTTCTTTGCTGCAGTCTGCATATCATCCAGAGAAAGCTAATTTTAAAGAAGTAGTCTCGAAATTTTCGGGAATAAACTCAATATTGTGAAACATCATACAAAATATTATATAACGAGTGTTCTCTTTTAATAAATCATTTCATTAGTTTTTTGAACTTCCTCTGTTTTCCTGGATTTTGTTGCCTCTCCTCAGAGACAACAATGTGGTGTCCTGCTTTCATGTCTTTGTTAGCACACTTCAGCTTTGATTCTGTCATCAGTGCCACCGCTCTTTCGACTGCTTGCTGGTGGCAGGGATATTTCGTCACCAAAGGTGATTCTATGAACCTGTCGAATTGATCAGGATCAGAGGGATGCACCCTTACTACCGATGGAATAGTGACTGCAGCCCACTTCAGCTCTTCTGAAATATAACTTGTTATCATAAACTTTCCTTTTTAAATTCAATACCATCCGTATTGTTTTCACTTTGACCTTATAGCTATGTCAATAACTTTATTAATACAATAATATAATATTAATAGTTACGTCATAGTAAATACAATTTGAAATGAACTTACTGCACGCAGTTTTGTAACAGAGACCAAATAAATGGTACGGTTTGAAAGACTTAGTCTTTCTCACCGGATCTTTATCCTCGATGTCAGTGTTGTAAATGACAAGGTCAAGGTACGATTTTGCATTTCTGTTAATCTCTGGCTTGCAAAATATCCGCGGTTTTCCATTCGGGCGTATTGTCCGGTTCATGCCCTTCTGCTCTAGTTCTATAAGCTGCCTGCAGAGAGCCACGCCTTTTTCCCGAACAGCTCTATCTGCGTCACCTTGAGGAGTATTTTCATTCACATTTATTTAAAGGAACAGAACCAAAAGCGGGGACAAAGGTGAACAATTTAAATAACTAAACTGTAACAAGAGCTTCGTGACAACAAATATCCACTAAAATAAAACATGTACTAATTTCTCACCGAGACTGCAAACAATAATTGCTTCAGGATGAGCGAAGTAACTATTGTTACAAACTTTCTTCAAAACTGCTGTTCGTTCTTTTGGGGAAAGTTGTATGTCATTATTGAGTGTGAGGCTTGTAAAAACATGATAAGCCCCATCCTCAATAAGAGGACGCAGTTTGATCTGAGCGTGCATCTGAAATTTGAATGCTTGAGTTATGAGTATAATTATTACAGTATCACTTATCAGGAACAGAATATATGGCTAAATTTAGTTTCATTTCATAAAGTGACGATTTAAATATTTAGCAAAATTGATTAATAATTAATATTCATCAAATTTCTGGTCTGGAAAAATGTGATGATTGGCACAAATGTACGTAAATGGGTATTGTAGCTACAGTCAATAGTTTGGGGGCATGATAATTAATTCAAATTGCAAAAACTATATTATGCAATTTTTATTTTTATTCAAAATCTCAGATAAGACCTAGGCGAGGTGATACTCGAACTATTGAAGTACTTACCCTATAGTACACCTGAACCACATAACGTGCCAGCGTGTCCACCTCCTCTCTCCTGACTACAGGATCAGATACGTAGTACCTTAGTATCCGCGATGCCAGGGTCAGCCACCGTGCGTGATTCATTGCTCCAAGTTTTGCGGAAGCAAGGTCATCAGGAACATATCCTGAAACATTATTTGTACTACCTGTTTTCCTTCTTTGGCTCCCAAAGAGACAATCCACTACAAAATCTGAGTTATGAACAGATATAGATGGTCTTACATGTAGTCTAGAGTTACTTAATATAAACATAGGTAAAACATTTTTACTTTTAATTGGCATGTACCATCGAGACAGGCGAGGCAAAGTCGATAAAGCATTCTGTTGTCCTGGCTTAGCTGCTGAATAACGGTTGACGTTAACCTCGGAAAATCAGCACAGGAGATCGTATTAAACTTTGCAATTTTCCTTTTGTATACGTCATCACTTAACAGAACTTTACCCAGTCTGCCACCAAACTGACCTTTTCCTGAAGTTGCATATTTAATTGAAAAGTATGCATTATGCCTGGCTATATAGAAAAGGTCGTAATAATTCATTCCATGCAAATTTGGACTACAGAAAGTTTGTTTAAATTTAATTTACCTTCTTTCACGTTATCAAGCTCACAGAACAATCCACGAAGTGGTAACTCCACCGAGTGAAGTAAGCACACAGACAGAAAGCAGGGCTTTCCGATCATTTCCTGTATGTGTCTTAAAGCACCCTCCTGTAAAGATTACAAATTAGGTATTGTTTTCGTTATATCATAAAAAAGTGATCCTTAAACCGTTTGATCACAAAGTCGTTTTTTATTACATTAAATTCTTACATTGTATCCCGTAAGCGTGTTGGTACCGTCACTCCCTAGCACCTCTATCTTCTTGTAGTTGATTCGCTTACTCTCCAAGTAATTGATAATTGTTGATGCGATACCTCTTCCTGAAGGTACCAACAAGAATTAATAACCATTATTATATAATAACCATTTAACTTTATATTCAATAACGACATGATTAACTCAAAAAGTATTTTACTACTATACTATCAGAAACTTGTTTTGAGCTTTAAGTTTTATGTTTCAAGTTGAATTAAGTTCAAGCTATGTCGACGATAAGATGTTAAGATGTTAAGATGTTAAGATGTTAAGATGTTAAGATGTTAAGATATTAAGATGTTAAGATGTTAAGATGTTAAGATGTTACGATGTTAAGATGTCATAATTTTAAGATGTTAAGATGTTAAGATATTAAGATGTTAAGATGTTAAGATGTTACGATGTTAAGATGTCATAATTTAAAGATGTTAAGATGTTAAGATGGTACGATAAGTTGTTTGACTTGAAACACAATGCACAATAAAAACCTGTCTTGTCATCTATAGTGACGAATCCTAGAGAATGTGCACCAGGATATGCCAATATAGTGTATGTTTCTTCCCTGATCTTTTGGTTCTTTCCGTCGAGCCAAACCAAACTCTCGCTTTCTTTGCCGTCAAAATAGATAGCTATAAAAATTAAAACGTGTAAATCGGGTGATGATCTATATTTTTGTACAATATATCTTTCATTATTTGGATTGCTTCTTACTTCTTACCATTGAATTCGAGCTGTCCCAGACTAGAAATGAACTGTTCCCGGACGTTATTGGCAGCCGTCCTCATCTCAGCCTCTGTCAAGAGCCGATGGGTCCCCGTCAATGGCTGTTTCTCTGTTACAATGGAGTGGTGAATCACTCGAAAAACGTCTACCATGGCGGCACAGCTGATTCCACGCCGAAGCATCACAGGGACCATGTTGTCGTACATCTGGTGCACGTCTAAATCCTTGTCATGCACGTTTGGTAACCAATCTTTGTCCTGTGAATTAAAATGTCAGGCTTGTAAACTTTGATCCTTTTTACGTGATTAATTACGAGACCAATTAAATATTGCCTCTAGAAGCACGTCTTCAAATATGCCATAGTTTTAAGCTTAGTGAGGCCGCACCTTAGTTATTACTCCCTCGTATGGGGTTTTACTGCCAACAAACACTTTTTGTGAAACAAAATATGGGTCTTAGAGCAGTACTACCTAGATTCGCCAATTTCTGGTACAAACAAACTTCTTCGCAGAGTCTATTCAACGTTAACATCTATAAAAGGTGAAAAAAAGCAGCAAAACGAGAGCATTCCTGAAGGATGGCCCAACTTGATGTTACATAATATAGCGGGATAAGGATATCAAAGCGCAACATTAACCGCAATGCTGATAACAACCTCGTCTTAATACCATAAGCACGCACGGAAGCATTACTGAATCAATTTCACTGCATACCATCACAATTACACTGTCAACAATTCATATTATATTCACCAGCAACCCCGGCATGGGCTTATCCTACTGATAACAGTCGTACTACACAATTTGTGTGCGTTTTGACTTTTGATAGCTAACAATTAATTAATATATATTTTGAGTAAAGATTGGCTAGCACTTTAGGCCAGCACCCAACAAACTAATAAAATACTTTATGATTAGTTATGATAATAATAAACATGCCGAAGAAGGAATAAAGTTATACTTGGCGAAACCTAAAAGACAAGCTGTTTCGTAAAGCAGCTTTATCATGTGGCTGTCAAGAAAAGCAAAACATTTAAGTTTGGAAGCATACCTGCGTACTAAATCGGCTGTTTGACATCTCTTCAAGCAAATATTTTAGATCGGGTGTTAGGAAATTTTCTGGATCAGAGGAGGATGTTGTCTTATCAGCAGATCTCGTAGTCATCCCACTACTACTAGAAAAATCGTTTAACCTGTCTCGGATATTCCTGAAAATAATAATTGCTAAATAATTCAGTTGATTTATGTATAAATATTATATAATACTAGAATGCCCGTGGTCACAGGGAGGAAGGTTACAGTATTCTTTGGTCAGTTTTTATAGCGTACATAGAGACATAACCTTTCGAATTATTACAATGATATATTATATATTTATATTAATGTACATTAGTTAGCCACAGAAATAATTGAGGCACACAAGTGATCTCAACTTTCGGTCATATTAACCTTATCAATAATGACATTGGTTATAATATAATAGTATTGAAACTATTACAACTATTACGGACTGGAACATTATTAGTCGCATAACAATAGACAGATGATAATTTCTGATTATTCTGATTTCTGCAACACATGATACTGTGCACACTGTTAGGATAAACGACGTTTCAAAGTAACAACTTCGTATTTATGCTGACAAAATTGGTAAATATGTGAGAAAACTGTCCCATAATATTTATAAATCAACAAGAGAATGAAAAGCTAAAATATCTAAAATTCTTCAGTACTATATAGCTATGATAAAACTAGCTATCATTCTCTTTTTATTGCGTACAGTTTCAGGTTCTAGTAGTAGTAAGTTTTAGTGTTTTTACACATCTCGCTCACAATCATTAACCACTCACTATATTTTCACTCACATTGTGTATACACCATCTCACATGTATTGTATCTTTTACCTTATCATCTGTTATCACTGTACATGTCATTACATCACACGATCACAATCACGTACTAGCTGTTCAGTTGATGTTTTAAGTTTATTGAATAGCAGATCGAGTAATTTGTGTATACATAGATTTTGATTCTAACTTTAATCTAGTATTTGAACAATTTGTTGTCGTTTAGCCTTTTTGATTTATAACTTTTATGAGACAGTTTTCTCACATATTTATCAATTTTGTCAGCATAAATACGAAACAGCTTTTATTTAGTTAGATGAACTTACTGAATGGGGTCGACATCGTCAGGAGTTGAGGAACAGCTAGGCTGGTTGTAATCTGCTGCTAATCCAGTTATATTCCCGGAGTTCGAAGAGGATGGTGACTGTTCAGGAGATCTCACTCTTGTGGAAAGATTGGTCAACCTGTCCCGCATATTCCTGAAAAGAATGAATTCTAGATTATTTAGTTGATTTAAATATTATATATTATACATCTTAATCTAGTTCCGGTGAACCTGCATCCACTCTGATTCTAACATAGACTCCCTTCCGACCAATTTACTTTTACTTATTATTCCTGACATCACTTTAAAGCTTTACTGAGTAAACATTACATCTATCAACGAACTAATCTTGTTTCGAGAATCGAGAGAGATATTATTTAAGAATTTTAGATATATCAGAGCATGTGTATAATCTATCAGTCTTATCCGCTCCCAGTATCTTATCTTAATATAACTTACTGTAATGGATCAGGAACATGGGAATCAGGTACATGGTGATCGTCTGCAGCACGATCTCTACCAAGAAGGAACTCCTTGTCCAAGAAGGAGTCAAAATTTTCAATCGTTTCCCTTTTCCGCATGTTCTTACGCTTTTTCAATTTGTCGTAGAGGCCCTTGATCTTCCTGAATTATAATTACATTAATATTGTCATTTCAAAATAAAATGAAAACGATTTTTCTTACCTTGTTGCCAGAACTAAAAGGGCTGTCATTGCTAGATGAATATCATGAGATCACTGACGGGATCATCGTCGACGTGGCTGGATCGGCAATATACTGCAGTCTCGTGTGAAATATTGCTCTGGCCAGCATGAAGTGCAGTCTTTGCTCAATTAAATGTAGAAAGTTTCTAAATTACATTAATATAAGAGAAACTAAGTGCCTAATATAAATATGCATACAGTACAACTACAGATTGTTCATGAAACATTGGTCATTGGTTTGGTTTCAAACATCTGTAGATTAATTTATGAAAGATCGATCGGCTATATTTCTCTTATTTCCCCCAGCAGAAAATATATGTTTGAAACCGGACTGATGTATCGTGAACAACCTGTGCTGTAGGGTAAATACCTAAAAAACACTAGCACTTACTTGACAATATTGCAAGGCTGAAAGAAGTCCGTTTGCCTGTACATTTCGATGGTACTGTAATGACTTAATATCAAACTTGAAACCTCGGCCAGCATTAAATCGACATGAGTCGCATGGTTTTCCTTGTGGCTCAAAAGAAAACGAAGGATGTCCTTGTTTGACGGAGGACTGTGACATGGAAGGCTGTCACACGTTCCATCAATAAAATCGGACAACTTCATTGCAATATTGAGAAAACTATTTGAGAAATGATCACTATTCATATAGCGGTGTTACATTGATTTTAGTTACGTTGCAATTTTACTCGACTCTTATCAGTTCACTTCTTATCAGCGCGATCGCAGTAAGTTTTACTGTGTGCAACAGTTACATAACTGTAACTGTATAATACACATAACATTAACTCTGTAATGCACTTCAAACTGCAGTATAAAGAGTACGCACTTCGCACAAATGACAAGAAGGTAATCTAGTAATACGATTTTTGGTATTAATATCTTTAATATTAATAACACGGCTTGTTCGATTCAAGTCCGTTCAATGTGGTCAATACCTGATGTGCGGATCACAGGCTTCGTTATTTACAATAGCTGAGATTAGGCAGATATAGCGGTTCCAGTCGTTACCTGGGGACCCCAGGCTGTAATATCCAGATAAATTGAAGCTGCGGCGGAATGACAATCTGGGATGAGTGCGGCCCAGGAATGCCAGCCGTTACGCCGCTCAGCTTAATGTAAAAACTGTATTACAATTGATAGCATCATTACAATTTCAATCACGTTTTAGAGTAATTTACACGAGAGTAGGACAATTATAACCTGTTTAATCTTGTTCGGCGTCATCGAAAACATAGGGCTACAAGGTTTCCGCTTCGATTTCCATCAATAAAAAATCCTTCTAATTTCGATTCTCTGGGCCAGCTGTCTGCTGGGTTTCAGAAGGTGGTACCAGATGCTGCTATAATTGAGCGCTCAGCTGCTCTAATTGGGTCCAATTACACCCGATACACGATATTATTCCATATAAGGTCTGATCAAGTAGCTTCAGCTCTGGTGACGTCACAAAATCTCCTAGTCGGCATACGACACGTTACGAATGTGATCACGTGCCCGAGGCTTTACGAATCAAGGTCACGTGATAGGATTAGCGGTCACGTGATAGGACTGAATGTCACGTGACCTCAGTTATCCCTTATATGGCACAACTAGCTGCAATTGATCAGCTCTTAATTAGGCTGAAATCCTTGACAGGCCTATAATTACCCAATTTTAAATGAACGATATCTCATCCTACAGAATGATGAGAGCGTAAACAAAATGCTTCCCGGAATCAGCACAATGCAGGGAACAAGATGCTGTTGGAATATCAATTATTCATCTTCCACCCGTAGTCCCTAAGGAATATCACATCTGGCCAAGGTCGCTCTACACAGTGCAGGCACACAAACAACAATGGGCTATAATACTAACGACAATGCAGTGCACCTAGACCTAGTTATAGTATTACGTCTTGTGTATGTAGATCTGTCGATTTGTGGGTCGATCATGCATGATAATAAAAGGGAAAAAACATCGTGCAAATCGTGATAACTCAGGACGATATGAGAGCGAGAGCCTCCACTCGCTATAAAATTAAATATAGAATTCAATTGTCATTTCGGCTATGCTCTAACTAAACATCTCTTTCCAGTTCTGCTGTAAGCAAAAAATTTAAAGATTATGTAGATCAACAAAAATTGGCAAACATGATTGGACAGCTAATTGCTAATTAATTAATTAGCTAATTGCTTCCACGTGTCAAAACATTTATGTCAACTCCTCCCCAGCATCCAATTTAATTGGAATTTTTAAATTAAACTGAAAATCTTAACAAATTCTTACTGTTCACTGCTGAAGTATTTATCAATCCCCACATCAGCAGACCCCGCAATTGCAAAGTTTGAGCTGCCAGTGTCAACCACTACACTAAACTTCTGGGCAGGACTTCCTGAATTATAGGTAATTTAGAGGTAAGTTAGAGGTAATTTACCTCATTATCACATAAAAATTGATTTCTGAAAATTTTTGAACATGGTCATTTTAGCTAATATTTGGCGGAAAGACTTTTAAACCACAATATCATAATCGAAAATTTGAGTATTTCAAACTAAGACGCGCAACCCCCTCATCAACTTAATAAAAATTAATTAATTAGTATAAGACCTAGGAATATGTCTATGAAGTATCCTTGTTCGGGTCTCCCGGTAACCTGCACATCTGTCTCTCTCTTCCACACCCTGTTGTTGTCAGGATCTATTGTGTAATTCAATGTTTAGTTCTAGAGAGTATTAACATAAATGTTTAAGATGACAATGGCGATGTGTGCCCATTATATTATGTTACAAAACTGAATATGAAATATGAGTTCATGCTTTCAATGCATTATTTCTACAATATACTTTTGTTTTTGGGGAACACAGAACTTCTAATTAAATAACGATATAATCACAAACCAATGAGACATATTATTATAGAATGCAAGTGTAGTTACCTTGAATACTCCCTCGTAGAGGAAGTTTGATGGCTGACTCAATGTGAACAGTTAGTAGAATACAGAGGAGGGAGAGCGATACTGCCATCCATTAATATATCATCTCTTTGCTGCATTGATTACAATGTAGTGGAAAATAAAGTGTGTAGTAAATTTATAATATGTGAACAACCCCTAAATTAAAACTCTGATTCAACAGGATTATACATTTGCAGTGAAATTTATGCTAAATTTTCTTTTACCAATACTCCTGGAAAGTGTAATAAAAATATTCTCAGAGACACATTGTGCATCTACATCAATTATTTATTCACATTGAACCTAGTAAAGGGCTCAATTTTTTGGTGGTATTTTCTTTATAATGGGGTACAAGACGAATTTTTCAAGGATCTAGACAACTAGAGAAACCAATTCAGTTGTATCCGGTCTTGTTAGCAATTAGGATATTAGGAACAGCATTCCAGTATTTTAAGTAGGAGAAACATAAAAATAACTACACTGTGCTGTTAAGTTACCAGTAGGATACAAATACTGATCCTTGAAGTTAACATGTACACCCTTCACACACATCTGAAAGGGGATTCAACTCAAAAAAGTGTCTCGACAGGGATGATCATTGATCCTGGCTCCCTTAATCCACCAATAAGCCAGTACTACTTTACTGTCAGAGGTACCCAATGTGGCAAAAAAAGTAGGGCTTGTGAAGAATGAGCTGCCAAGTGCCAGGATAGCTCAATGGAAGAATGGCAGTATTTCCACGATCAACAAATTTAAACGAGACAAATTGACAAACGTATCTAAGCTAATAATAAGACAATACCTAAGTTTAGCAGGAAGACTAAAGAACAATACCCGAACTACACTACGTCTACAGAGAATAACTATGAAAGCTAAATTGTTTTTATGTTTTAGCACATAGGAGAAGAGTGGCAAATATAGGTATGAAACAAACAAACAGATCTGAGTAATGGTCATATAAACCTTGTTATATGATACTTGTAAACTGTAAAACAGTGGACAATATTATATTGACCATTATGGATCCAAAAAAACCTCAAATCAAAATTAATGTATTTTTACATGGACCAATATTTATTTGCAAGTAAATTTTCATGGTTAAATTTTGCGTGCGCCAATTTTCGAATGCGCGGCGTAGCCTGTGCAATTTTGAAATAAAGTTATAATTTGGAAAAATTTGTTTTTGAATCTCTCAGTTTTGACACCCCAGAAAACCTTACTACCTGCCGGGCTCGCTAAAGGTGCAGTGATCGATTTTCAACGGCGCGTTTGTCGGCCTCGCACGTCACATCAAGTTCACCTTTCGCCTACTGGGCCGCGCTCAGCCTGTCATTCCGCCGAATCTCTATTCTATGAACATAATAGCCTGAGGTCCCAGGTAATGCATCGCGCTACAATACATGATATTATATTATATTACCTCTACTTTACTCACTTCTAACAGTAACACCGCTTTTTATATAATTAGCTAGAAATAGAGAGTTGAAGGGAATCAAAGGGACAGACGGACGCGCGGATGGTATAAATAAATCTTAAATGGGATGTTCTGATTTGGTGATGTTGCATGTTGGCATCGTCAATCATTCCCAGAAAAACTTACGGCAGTAACGCGCACACAGCACAGGGACTGCACAGGAAGAGCAAAGTGCAAAGAAACTGCCACAAACTGCTACTAACTGCTACAAACCGGCACTAACTGCCACAAACTGCTACTAACTGCTACAAGCGGGCACTAACTACCACAAACTGCTGCAAACGGCGCGCGAATGCTGCAGTTAGTGGCAGTTCTTAGCAATTTGTGGCAGTTAGTAGCAGTTAGTAGCAGTTAGTAGCAGTTTGTGGCAGTTCTTTGCACTTTGCTCCTCCTGTGGTACTGGCGCGTGCCCGGTAAAGACGACTGCAGACTGGGGACCCCTCTGAAAATTCAAATGTAGAGTCAATGGTCAAGAGCGATCGAGCACGTTCGGATTACCTCGGAATAAAATTTAATTTAATTTCACACTTTTCTTCTAAAGAATCTGAACATTTTTTATTGAAAAACTACCAGTACCATCACCAATCATCGTAACCTACATCCTATTATTTAATGTTAATAATACTAGAGGTTATACTTATCAGACAATGAAAACGAGCAATGTAACAGAAAGCAAAGTATAAATTCATCAAACATATCACATAAAATAACATATTAATATCTTATTTAATGTCGTAAATTAGTTTTCTAAAATAAACTTAATTTTAAGGCTATCGCGATTAATAAAAAACAGGAGGCGATCTTTTAAAAATATTCAGCAGACAAATTAAAACATAATTGCACAATTTATAATGCAAAATTGTAAAATGTACTGCTTTATCATATCAAGTACGTAACGATATTATGGCCGATGACTTCAAATGTTTACCAGAACATAGAATACATATTGCGTTAGAATTCCAATTCCAAACATTAAATTTCTATCTGATGCGAGATTATCCTGGAAATCAGCTCATAAATGAACTCAAACCATAACGTAAGACATTGGCATTAAATTAACATATTCATCGCAAAATCTATCTTAATGAACATGCATGACATCAACTTGGTTAAAACATTATATTTGATTTCAGGAAAGGTTAAAGTTCATGCTACTTACTATTATATTGTCATGCAGGTTAACGGAAAATCTCAAAATAACGATACTAAAACATTAATTTGATTTTTGTAGATACTATTTATAGATTGCCATTGTCAGTTATGAATTTTTATAATTTCAAAAATACTTCAAATGATGGGAATTAATGTGCTTGTGCAGCTTTAGTCCATCCACGAAAATTCTAACAAATCACTCATTTCTTCAAAGTTTATCATATTTATCTAAAGCTTCAGGCGCTATATCTTTAAATTGACAAACATCACGACATTCTTCGCGGGTATTATTAGCTCAACTGCTCGCGTTGGCATAAAATAAAATGTTGAAAATTCTAAAATACAATTGATGAGCTATACTAGAAGTTAGATGATATAATCTCTAAATTGAGTAATGGTGTTACTGCTTCTGCATAGCGGCCAGCATGTTTTGTTGCTTGGTCAACTGTTCGACCATTCTCTGCATTCTCTTCAACTGAAATAGGGAGAACGTTTAGTTTCAATAAATAAATTAATATCCCAGTGGAATATTAACTAGGATATTTACTCGAATATCAACTAGAATATTAACTAGAATATTAACTAGAATATTAACTAGAATATTAACTAGAATATTAACTAGAATATTAACTAGAATATTAACTAGAATATTAACTAGAATATTAACTAGAATATTAACTAGAATATTAACTTTAATATTAACTAGAATATTAACTAGAATATCAACTAGAATATTAACTAGAATATTAACTAGAATATTAACTAGAATATTTACTTGAATATTAACTCGAATATTAACTCGAATATTAACTAGAATATTAACTACTATGAACGTTGAACAACCACTGTCTTTATCTAAGTTGGTATATTATAAAATAACCTTCAGTAGGACGAATTTATGTGAGAATTCAAAAATGCGAATTTCAAAAAGTTAGATTCCTTCATAAACAGACTTCATGAAACTTGATTGTAGATATTTAAATTCCTCGCAGCTTGTAGCTGGGCAGGAGCACGGGCGGTGCATGGGGTGGTATTTATTATTTAACCTCCACGATCCCCTCTGGCACAGACACGAAAGCCAACCCAAAATAACACGTACCTCTTCATCCTTCTCACGGATTATCTTGTCAGTCTCGTCAACAACCTTGGGGCCTGTGCTCTCGTTTATACTGGTGTTCGTACTGGGAGTCGTACTGGAGTTAAACATTGATCAACCGTTATTTACTGAGCAGCGTTTTAATGGAACACGTGACATGACGTCACACCACGTTACATGACGTCACACCACGTGACATGACGTTACACCACGTGACATTACGTTACATCACGTCACACCACGTGACATTACGTCACATCACGTGACATGACGTCAAAACACGTGACATGAAGTCACACCACGTGATTAAGACGTCACACCACGTGACATGACGTTACACCACGTGACATGACGTCACACCACGTGACATGACGTCACACCACGTGACATGACGTCACACCACGTGACATGACGTCACACTTAAGACGTGTAGTGTTATTGAGGATCATTTGATGGTTCTTTCAAGAAAATTTCTGATTAGAATTTATATATTTATCTTCATTAGAAAAATGTCATCACTGAGTCTATTCAGAAACAAAATCAGGCATTTTCTTGAAAGATCATCTTCTATTGACACTGGTGTCACTTTGATTGAGTGGATGAAATAAATCAGACAAAATTCAGACAGAAAATCAAATTCCTACGTAAGATTAAGAGTGGTAAAGGATGGTGAGTGCATAGTGAAGTTGTGTGCTGCAGCTGGATTTTTTTGCAGTACTGATCCCTCGAGATCACTGGGGAGAAATAGTATTGAGGTAAGGAACTACAATCAGTATTCATGTCAAACAACAATTAAAGGACATGGTTTTCAAGATTGTTTGTTTGGATATCTTCTTATTCGTAATTATGTTCGTGGAATACTAGTAGGTGATTTTAATGTGAATCTAAAAAGATGCTTAGATCCTAAAGACAAGTATTACACACATTGCGATATGATGATTTGTCACGTCACTCCGTCGAGTACTAATCTGTTATATAATCAAATCAGATTCACATGGCAAAATTTTAGAATGAGCGCTTCAAACAACACACAGCAGAAAACAATCAGCCCATATCACTATCATAAGAACCTATAACACCACGTGACATGACGTCACACCACGTGCCATGACGTCACACCACGTGACATGACGTCACACCACGTGACATGACGTGACAATCAGCCCATATCACTATCATAAGAACCTATAACTGAGCTTTTGAGATCGGAAGTTTTCGTAATGAACGTCACGTGTGACCTCCTTTAAGTCTTGCATGTGAGTCCTTATCAGCATGTTCCTCAACTTGCCAAAGTCTGAGTGCTCTGGGTTCTCAACTGAGAGAGAAGGAGGTTGAGGGTGACGTCACACCACGTGACATGACGTCACACC